TTCAAGGTCAAGACTACTCCATTTACCCCACTGTCAGTCAGTGCAGAAGTTTGGCCTGTTGTTTGTGGTTTCTCTCCCAATTTGGCATAGTATTTCCTTGACCTGTGGCTATGTGTATGGCTTTAGGAAGGGAAGGTTGGTTTGGTATCAGAGGTTCTCAAACTTCCCATGCATCAAAATTACCTGGAGAACTTTTTGAAATACAGTTTGCTAGCCCCATGTCCAGACATTCCCTTTCAGTAGGCAGCTTCATGCTTCATGACGGGGCGGGTGGGAAACCTGGACAGTCACACAGGACCCCACTCAGAAGAAGCCCACGTTTGGCTTAATGATCTGCTCCTACCATCTTTAAATTCTTATTTTTTAACTTGGGGCCCTGCCTGTTCATTTTTCACTGGACCCCACATATTATAGTATAGCCAATCCTGTCAGTAGGCCTAGAATGGAGCTTGAGAATTTGCATTTCCAACAAGTTTCTTTTCAGAGTCAGCCCAAAGAACAGAGGAAAGGGACAGTGGCTCCACCTCCTCCTCTCTCACCCCTGCTTGATAAGATCCTATCATAACCATGAAAATTAAGGAAGAAAGAATGTCGCAGTTTCTGTTATTTTTGTTATAGTTATTATTGTTGTTCTTGTTTTATTTTAACCAACCTGAATGTTCTCATGAAGCATGCTGCCCTTCCAGTCCCCCCAACAATTAATGTGGGTGTGACTTCCCTGTCTAAATGTCTGTCCAAAAACAATTTGTTGAAGTGACTTGAAAAAACATGTAAAGTGGAACAATACTTTGGTAAGTAATTTGAGAAACTGGGGACAGGAAAACAATGGAGTGAAAAGATAAGATGCAGTTGGGGTGTGAAACACACAGAAGCACACCAGAAACTCCAGTACACCAACTCAAGGGGAGCCCCAATTCCACAGAGCCTTTTATCACTCATTGCAAAACCTGATACATTATTATTACACTAGAAGCCCAGTACACGAATTTGTGCACAGGTGGGGGTCCCTCAGCCTGGTCAGCAATGGAGGCCTATCTAGGCCATCTTGCCCAGTCCCAATTGGGGCTGGCCAGCCAAGGGGAGGAACCAAGGGAGGTTGGCTGTGGGAGCACACTGACCACCAAGGGGCAGCTCCTGCATTGAGCATCTGCCCCCTGGTGGTCAGTGCGCATCACAGCGACCAGTTGACCGATCATTCAATCAACCAGTTGTAACGGTCACTTAGGCAATATATATAGGCTACTTGCATCCACTGCCAGCACCTGGTGCCAGCCCCTATCACTCAGCGCTGTCAGCAGGTGCAAGTGGCAGCCAGTCCCGATTGCCCCTCAGGACTTCTCCACCTCCCCCTGCTCCTGAGAGGCAATTGGGGCAGCAGCCACTGCTCACACTTGCTGACGGTGCCGGCCACACTTGGACCTGCTGCTGGTGCCAGCCCCAGTTGCTCCACACCATCAGTGGATGAGAGGAGAGCCAGCACCATCAGCATGTGGGAGGGCTACTGGCAGACTTCTTCCATGGGGTATGTGTCTTTATGCACATAACCATTGGCTGAATCTGAAAGTTACTTTGTTGAATGTATTTTCTTCTGCATGTTTTTATAAGACAGATGAGCAAGACATGAGGCAGAACTAGAGGTTCTCCATGAGCTAAAATATGACCTTTCTAATGCTTTCCTCCCAATATGAGGGGTCAAAAAGGTTTTTGTAGCTCTGATAGTTATTTTGTTTTGGCCTATGATTTGACTTAACTCTTTTTAAAATAAGGCTTTATGTACCCACTGTTATTGATATAACACCATGGCTGATAAAGGGGACATTTTCATTAATGACTACAAAAACGTTAATACAGAAAACTACTAAAATTAATCCAGTAATATGATTTCTAGCTCTAATAAGGGCACAGAACCCCAATTCTGAGCTGAGCTCCATGTAGTTACCAGTTCAATATATTCAGTTTTTCTCCTCACAAGTTTCCTCACACAGAGCCAACCCCATGATAACACACAAGTGTCTCGCTGTCTTGTTTTGTGTTCCCTCCACTAAAATTAGGGAGACTCCTTTCTCTTTGATTAGATAATGGAGAAGAAATCATTTTTTCCCACTTTCCAGCAGAAGTAGTAAGTACCTTTCAGTTTTCTTTCGTTCACGGGAGACCTAAAGTTTATGGAAAGTCATCCACACGGTATTGTCTGGCTCTTTCCCATAAGGTTGTTTAAAGAGGCCCTAGCGGGTGTACTTAGTGGATAGAGCATCAGCCTGTAGAGCAAAGGGTCCCAAGTTTGATTCTGGTGAAGAGCACATACCTCAGTTGCAGGCTCCTCCCTGGCCCGGACCCTGGTCAGGGCATGTGCAGGAGACAAGCAATCGATGTGTTTCTCTCACTTCGATGTTTCTCTCTGTCTTTCCCTCTCTCTTCCACTCTCCCTAAAAATCAATGGAAAAATATATTCAGGTAAGGAATAAATAAATAAATAAATAAATAAGATAAATAAATAAAGTTTTAAAAAAAATTGTTTAAAGAGGAGTCAAGGAAAGGACTTACTTATTCCACATGGGTAAGATAGTCCCTCAGCAGAAAGTGTTCAAGCCCCTGGCTGTCTCAGTCCCCAGCAACACATGTCACGTGCTGTGAGGCCTGTCTCCTGCACGCTAACCCCTGCAGGAAACCTGAGAAGAAGCCAGCCCCACTGTGAGCGCCCTTCCTCCACGTGGCATACTCAGAACCCTTTGGTTAAGAGAGGATTTCTCAGGCATGTGTACCTTCTTTAAGATTGCAAAAGATTTGTTTTGAAAAGTTAAACCAAAAGAAAGCAAGGACTAGTAAGGAGAAGCAGTGGAGGGGGGGGGCACTGAGCAGGTTCTGGAATTGTTAATCAATCTGTCATCATTTCCCTTCAAGATGTGATCAGGGCCACTATTTTGAGGAAGGTAGAACATACAGATGGTCCCAGGTAAGACTGCAAACACTCTTCACACGCCTGACATTCCCTTTTCCCGTTCCATTCACATGTTCGCTGTTATTTTTGTTGCTGTGATAATTCATGCACATATGAAATGTAATGGATATGCTCATTATTATGCTTTATATCTATTTGTAAAAAGGACTAGTGCCTTGTAGACTCACTTTAGATGTAGCTAAATGCAATGGACACCAATTACAGTCATATATTTATCCTTCCAGCCACTTTATACATGCAACTACTCCCACCAGTAGCATCATCTTCATCATCATCATCATCGTCACAGGAAGGATGGACGGACTGACACTAAGTGTCTGGGTGGGGGAAGAAAGGTTGTCCATGAAGCCATAATAAACTTCATGTAAAGTCTCAATCATAGTTTTATCTGAATTACTTTTAATTCAGGATATTGAGGAAAGTAAAAGAGTTATCTACCGATTTTTCCTTAATAGATAGTGAGCATCAGTTGTTATTTATCTGTTTTGCTGCTGCAAAGGTATATACATATATATTATACACATACACATACACACAAAACATACACTTTTATATACTGGATCATGTAAGATCTGAGGTAGACTTTCCCAAATAGCCTCAAGAACCCTATAGGGAATGCATATTTCAGTTGCTACCCCAAACAGAATAAGCCCTTATTAACACTAAGATCTGGGCTACTTTTCCATCAACAGTCAGGAATGATTGAGTGGTAAGAATATCATTTGACTGAAGGGTATCCCATGACCAGAAAGAATCACTATAATATCAAAATAATGACGAAATATTCACCACAACCAATTAGTTGTATTACTTTAATAAGATTAATTTTAAAATATAAATGAATGTCTTAAATTCAATATAATTGATAGTTGCTATATGTACTTTTAGCAAGTGAAATGCTACATTTTAAAGATAGCAAATGTGAATCCCAAATGTCTTAGCCCTGGACAGTTTGGCTCAGTGGATAGAGTGTTGGCCTGTGAACTGAAGGGTCCTGAGTTTGATTCCAGTCAAAGGCTCGTACCTCAGATGCAGGATCCTTCCCCGGCCCTGGCCAGGGCATTGTGGGAAACAACCAATCAGTGTGTTTCTCTCACATTCATGTTTCTCTCTCTATGTCTCTCCCCCTCTCTTCCACTCTCTCTAAAAATCAATGGAAAAATATCCTCAGGTGAGGATTAACAAAAAAAAAATATATATATAAAAGAATGAATGTCTTAAAGGCCTTGAATATATTCTGTCAAGTTCAGCCTATTTCTAAATTTCTCATTTACTTATTATTTTAATCAAATATGCATACTCTTGTGGTTTGCCCGTGTTCATGAGCACACTCTCCCACACATATAGTCATAAATATGGCTGATGGACCAAAATAATGACATTTCAGCCTCTTGTTCTTTTTCATTCCTTAAAATCAATGCCAAGTAGTGACCTTTTTGCACATATATAGCCCTCCCCAGAGTTTGCCATAACTCAATTCCCTCTGCAGACATTCTTGTCTTTGGAAAGCCTTTCTTCAAGTCATATTTCCAACAGGAAGTCGGTCCCTTTCAAAATTCTCCAACGAGTACATTTTGTTCATCTTGCCCCAAACTAAATCATCTTTTCTGTTTGACAAAAAGTTTCTGTTTCTTCCGATTAATCTTTTTTTTTTTTTTTTACTCTTTTCGTCGTTTTCTGAGCAATCTTCCATAGACGTTTATCCTTTTACTTTGCAATGAAAACCGATGAATCCAACAGGCATCTCAGCAAGGCACATGGGAGAAGACAGGGATCCATCTCTTAGTCCTCCCCCTGCCTTTACCTTGACATTTCCAATGACATCTGTTGCGTTGTACTGCCCTCTGCTGGCCATTTTATGGAAACGCTTTCACCATCTTGTAAAATACTGCTCTGAAGGTTTTCTTTGGTTTGTTTCAGCCTGTGCCCATGCATTCCCCCCCCCCCCCCCCCTGTCATCTGTGTCCCGGTCACCACAGCGTTGGCATCTGTCGCCAGCTGTCAGCATACTCACAGCCTTGTCCTTGTCTCCCTGAGCCAGAAGCCCTGATGACATGCTGAGGTCAGAAGTTTCCTTTTCGGTCGGAGGAAGACACTCATCCACAGACTCCAACAAGGCTTCCAGCGGAGACCTCTCCCCTTATGACAACAACTCCCCTGTGCTGTCCGAGCGCTCCCTGCTGGCTATGCAAGAGAACACGGCGCCGGGGGGCTCGGAGAAGCTTTACAAAGGACCAGAGCAGTACATGCTGGTGGGCCACCTGCCATCGTTGAAGTCAAAGGAGAGTTCTCCTGGACCACAGCTTGGAAAAGGTAACGGGGACTGTGATAGCCTGAGCCGGGGGCCCTTCGGGCCTTCTCTTCCTCCCTTCCTAGGTTCTGTGTATGCCCTTCAGAGAGCTTTGACTGGGTCCCGGCTGAAGATCTTCTCCAGGAAGAGGGAAGTGTGATGAGCCCAGTCTTCTCCTGGAGGGTCTAGGAAGCCGTCTCCTGTCCAGAGAGCGGTATTCCCAGCTGACTCTCTCCTTCCAGCATCCCAGGAACTCCGTGTGTCTTGGAGTTTGGGTGCCTGTTTGCTGAATTTAATGTCATCCAATTATCGCTGTTGCTTTTATAAAGAGAACAAACTGAACCTCTTCTATAACAAGACATCGTGTTCCAGAAAGGACATGTCAGTCTCCAGGGAGATGAACATTTTTAGGCAACATAAGGGTTTCGTGGTCAAATACGTTTGGGAAATGTTGGGTTAACCAAGTCAATGGTGTCTCTGTTGTACAATTTCTCCAAGTCTTCAAAGCGCTTGGTCACCATTGAGTGTCTGCAACGCGAGGGAGCGTGTGGTTCGTAGCTTTTCCCACATGTATTTGGCCGATGGATGTTTGCTTGTTCTTTCCCTCCATAGAGGAATTCCTTGGGGCCGGGACTCAGCGGGATACTCATTAAGTAATAATGGGAAGACACAGTTCAAATTTTTGCTACTTTATCATAAATTTATAATTTAACCCAAAGAGTCATTCTGAAAGGATTCTGTGTGCATGTTTTTAAATCATAGCATCTTTAGTTTATTTTTACGAATATTCATGTCAAAATAACTTTAAAAAATAATAACAAAAGCAGTAACCCATGTTTCCATCAGGCATTAAATTTATTTTCCAAATGTGAGAAACTTTATTTTCCTAGTCCTTGTTCATATGCATGCATAATGATATATATTCATAGTATGAATTCTTTTTAAAAATATTTTTTATTGATTTCCAAGAGATATGGAAAGGGAGAGAGAAAAACATCAATGATGAGAGAGAATCATGGATCTGCTGCCTCATGCACACCTCCTACTGGGGACAGAGCTGGTAACTTGGGCATGTGGCCTGGACCAGAATGGAACCTGGGACGCTTCAGTCCACAGGCCGACACTATCCACTTAGCCAAACTGGTTAGGGCATAATATGACTACTTTTGAAGTAAACTTATTTTACCTAAAATCCTATTATTAGCAATTTTTATATTGCTAACATTTTTTGTGTATGACCACTATATATTTTCATTAAATAGATGTGTCATAGATTTTTTTTTTTACTATTCTTTCTTTGATGTAATAGTTGATATCTAAATTTTGCTCTTTTAAATTAGGGGCAGGTTTCCTATATGTAATATTCTCTGAAGCAACAACAAAAAGAACACTCTGAAGAGAACTTGGCTATTAGGAGAGGCGTGGCATACTCAGGTTTCTAAACACATTTTCAAACGGATATTACTAGACAAGTTCACACCAGGAAAGCTTGATTCTGCCTCCCAGGGTCAGTGTCTTTGCATCTTAGTTGTTTAGCAGGTAGGCAAAGATTAAGGTGACCAGACGTCCAGCTTTTAGCGAGACCGTTTCGATTTTTAACAATTTGTCCCGCATCCTAGAGACTTTGGGACACGAGACAAATTGTTAAAAATCGGGACTGTCCCACCAAAAGTGGGACATCTGGTCACCTTAGCAAAGATACTCATGGGCTCTGACTTATTAGCAGGGGACTAAGGCCCACATTAGCTCTTACATCCATTTAATATCTTGGCAAACTCTAACTCTGCGGTTTTCAATGTTGCCCCCTGGGAGGCATGTAACAATGTCAGGAGGCATTTTTCGTGGTCATACTTGGCATCTAGTGGGTAGAGGTCCGGGTTGCTGCTCAGCATCCCACGGAGCACAGGACAGCACCATAACAAAGCATGACCCGCCCCAAGGTCAAGGCAGACAAACCCTGTCTAATCTGGAGCTTCCTCCCTGGAAATAACTTCACCCTGAGGGACCCTTGTGATGACATTGGGCCCACTCAGATCAGCCAGGATCCTCTCGTGAGCCTCTCAGGATCCAATCACGCCTGCAAAATCCCTTTTGACTATAGCATCCTTACAGGTTCTGGGGTCATGTCAAGGCATCTTTTTTGAGGGGGGAGGGGGGTCTTTATTCTGTCTACCACAACCATATCACAGAAAGAGCCTTTTTGTAAATCCCAAATGGAAAAAGCCTGTTTTGTATCCATCAGTCTCAAATACAGCACTTTGCACGGAAGTGATGTGCATTGATTTGTGTATTGATTGTTGCTCCTCGGTTTTCCTTGTGAATTACATACCTTTTCATACATTTGTTCCTAGATATGTCTGAGGAACCTTTCAATATCTGGGGAACTTGGCATTCAACATTGAAAAGTGGATCCAAAGACCCCGGAATGACAGGTGAACTGTTATTTTTTAAAATGTTTATTGCATTTGCTTTTGAAATTAATTTCCTTTCATCTTTGCCTTGTTATCATATTACACGCTTGTCAAAAATTATTTGCAAAATGCTGAGAAGACGGAGTAGGATAAAGTTACACTTAGCCTTTCCACTAAAATATGCCAATCTCTGACTGTATTTCATTTCATTTCCCTTGCCAGCGTTTGTACACATGGCTAACAACATTCTGTCTCTGCAACTCTACATTATTTAACTCCCATTTCTCAGTTATTCTCCATGATTGTTCATAATATTCATCGCTCACCGCCCAATGCTTGGCCAACTGGGTTGTTCCCATTTTGTTGTTGTTCTTGTATTATGCTGTCAGGAATTCCTTTTATGTACATTGTTAAAAAATGTTTTTATTGATTTTTAAAAATTCTTTATTATTGGAAGTTTTACATATGTCTCCCTTTTCCCCCATTGACCTCTCCTGCCTGCTCCTGCCCAGTTTTTATTAATTTTTAGAGTGAGAGTAAGGGAGAGAGAGAGATAGAAATGTCACAGAGGGAGAATCATGGATCGGCTGCCTCCTGCATGCCCCCTACTGGGGATCTAGCCTGCAACCCAGGGATGTGCCCTGACTGTGAATAGAACCATTACTTCTTGATTCCTGGGTCGATGCCCACACATTGAGCCACACCGGCTGAGCCAAATGAGTGTTTTAGATTCAATTAATTTATTCCTACAGCTTTTATTGACATGATAGAAACATGAAAACATTATTTGTGTCTCCTCTGGATTGCAAATTCCACTGAGCAGGAATGGAGCAGAGAAGTAAGTGTTCCCAGCCAGGTCGCAGGGACCTTTTCTGAAATATCAATTAGTGACAAGGACTGTTGAATCTTATTTGCTAGCTAACCTGTCAGAGTCTAGGCATCTGTATTTGGACCTGCTACAGCAATTGTATCAATAATCAAAAAGTGCAGCCCTAGCAGCTAGGGCCTAGCTGGTGTGGCTCAGTGGATAGAGCGTTGGCCTATGGACCAAAGGGTCCTGGGTTTGATTCCTGTCAAGGGCATGTACCTTGGTTGCAGATTTCCAGTGCGTGTAAAAGGCAACCAACCAATCAATGCATCTGTCTCACATTGATGTTTCTCTCTTCCCCTCCCTTCCACTCTAAAAATCAATGCAAAATATCATGGGGTAGGGAGGGTGGGGGTAAAAGGGAGAGATCAATCAAAGGACTGTGTGCACACATATGACCCTAACCAGTGGTCAAGGACAACAGGGGGGTGGGGATATGAGCGAGGAGGGGTGGGGGGTTGGAATGGGGGGTTGAGGATAAGTATGTGATACCTTAATCAATAAAGAAATTTTTAAAAATCCTGGGGTGAGGATTAACAACAACCAAAAAAGTGTCTTTTTTTTTTTAACTAGGAAGTCTTTTACTTCACCCAACGACACCTGAGAGTGTCCTGTGCCTTTTCAACCCTCAGAGCTGGCAGGGAAGGAAGTAACTGGACATCTGAGCCTGGAGTCTAGACACTAATTCCACTTCTCGCTCTTCTCTCTGCTGCCAGGTTCCTATGGAGACATTTTTGAAAGCAGCTCCCTACGCCCGGGGCCATGCTCCCTTTCCCAGGGGAACCTGTCCTCACACTGGCCCCGGTGGCAGGGCAGCCCCATGGAACTGGACAGCGGCCCGCAGGCCATGCGGAGGACTCAGACCACGGCCACCATCCCGGAGTGCCCGGCCCACCCGCCCGTGTCCAGGGTCTGCAGCAGGTCCCACATCCAGGGCGGCGGCAGGAGGTGGGAGCTGGCCACGCCCAGGTCTGAGCAGTATTTGACTCTGAGCAGCGAGGAGGACCTGGAAAGCGACCTGCAGGTGGCCTGGCTTCAGTGCCGTGGCAGGCCTTTGCACCAGAGACCCCGGGAGAGCACCAGGCCCGACTGCAGGCCGCCGCCTCCTTATCCCGGTCCAGGGAAGCAGGCTTCAGCGTCGGCATCGGCCCACCAGCCGGCAGAGCCACCCTTGTGGAGGCGCCAGAGGCCAGAGGAAGCGTCAGGATCACCCTTGGAAGAGGGAAGCCAAACAGCCCAGCGAGAGCCCCAGGCCGCCCAGCAGCAGCTGAGCAGCGCCTCCTCCAGTCCCGCGGGCGATCAGAACAGTAGGGGCCTGGCGGAACCTAACTGGCTCGACTGGCAGAGAGATCGGTGGCAGATCTGGGAGCTCTTGTCCGCAGACAACCCCGATGCCCTCCCGGAAACACTGGTATGAACCCACACCCAGCGTCAGCACTCACGTCCCAACAGCCTTCTTTCACTCCGAACGGAAAAGAGTTGGTGTTGGTCAATTGGACACTTCCTTCCTTTCCTTCTTTTACACTTTAAAAAAATAGCACAAGGGAACCCCAGTTCACTTAAAGATATAGAGCACTAACAACCTCACCACTTATGATAAGATTCTCTTGCATAGCCAGCCTTAGGGAGATACAAAATCATAAACGGACAGCAGCCCCTAATATATACACTGCTCACATTGCCTCTAAGATAAAGCTCTCGCTTTCGTATAGCTTAATTGTATTTATGTGTCTTCAGTTTTTGACTATTGTATATTCCGTAACAGATTATATATGATAATCGTATATGATATCATCACACAGAAAACAAAAGGAACATTTTTAAAATCACTTCACTTATACTAAGCAAGGAGATTCTATAGAATGTTCTAGAATATGCACAAGCAGGTTTCTGTGCTTTTGCCATAGCTTTTAAAGAGGGACAGTCCTTCCTTCGATGCCTAAGAAAAACACTAACAAAGTAAAAGAGAGTATGAGAAGCCATATTTTTATATAGTAGAGAGATACAATAAATATAGTCACTGAATGCTTTTTGATATGGAATATATTTTAAGGAAATACTAGATTTGATATGCTATGGAATATATTTTTGGAATCTGTTTAGAAAGGATTCAGTTTATCAAACAGGAGAAAGGCCCTGCCTGACAAAGAATAAAGAAATCATCTTTCCCATTTTAGGTCAAATTCAATTTCATATAGACCACATCTAATATATATTTATAATGTGTGACTTTTATGTATTTTTCAAAACTACAAACTGGAAACCAACTATAAAGTGATTAAGCATCTAAATAGAGTATTCAAATTAGATAACGTGGTTTTTCCTTTTGCCCCGTGATCAGTATTAACCAAATTACACGCAGTGCTTTAAAGTAAATAATATTGGGAAAAAGACTACAGCTTTGCATTTCCATTGTACCAAAGGCTGAGGGAATGTTTTCTTCAGTAATTTTGTGTGTATTGTAAAATGCTCCTACGTATTTCATTCTGTAGTACCGGTACCTTTGACCTTTTTCCACTGTAAAACTATTTCTGACCAGCAGGTGGCGATTCGCTTCAGTATTTTATGAGTTTTTCTTCACTTCATAAGGGAATGTGTATCATAGACAAACGATTTTTTTTTTTTATAAAACATGCTACTCTTAACTTTCATGTTGCCAGTGACATTCTCAGTGGTGTCTGTTAAAATTCTGTCTTGTGCCATGAGTAATAAAAAGTTAAGTGAAGGCTTTGTTCTGAGTGTTACATTCAATGAATGAACTCACATCCTATTCCGTACATATGCCCGCAATCCCCAAGTACAAATGTAATAAAAATGCCGCCGAAACCGGTTTGGCTCAGTGGATAGAGCGTCGGCCTGCGGACTGAAAGGTCCCAGATTCGATTCCAGTCAAGGGCATGCACCTTGGTTGCGGGCACATCTCCCGTAGGGGGTGTGCAAGAGGCAGCTGATCGATGTTTCTCTCTCATTGATGTTTCCAACACTCTATGCCTCTCTTTTCCTCTCTGAAAAAAAAATCAATAAAATATATATTAAAAATGTAATAAAAATGCCAATACTATGCATATACAGCTGAGGAGCCAGTAAGTGCGATGGCTTGGGGACATCAACCCAGTGAAACTGATCTATTATACTTAGAAATGTATAATGATTTGTTTCAGGTGAGACTGTCACTCAATTGAAATTCAGTTGTCAATGAGGAGGTAGTCTGCTACATACAGGATGGGAACTCAGGGCTGTTGCCTTCTGGACCAGTATTGCCCAGCACAATCCCTGTAAGCTCCATCTCCCGTAGGCCTTGGATGCTTCATTTGCTTCTTCATAATGAAGACCGGAAGCAGTATCTCATTTTCTTACTGGGGATGACTAGGATAGCTTCAGACTGGGCCTGAAGCTATCCTAGTCATCGATCCACACCACCGGTCAGCACCTCCGCCCCTGGCTGGGACACAGGCAGGAGAACTTGGCTGCGGCCCCCTGCCCTTCCTGGCCACCCACACGCAGCCGCAAGTGGTAAACAAGACCCAGAGCAAACACAGCTTGGTTATAAATTGCAGGTTGTTCTTCTGTAACACTGACTCTCATCCTGCCCTCCTCCTTCTGACCCTGTGTTGTCTTGGCTTTGGATTTGACAATGATCTGGGCCATTCTTTCCCTCCCTTCTAGACCGGACTGCCTGATATATTATGGGGTCCTCTGTCTGCCAGGTTCTTGCCCAAACAGGACTATTTTTTAAAACTTCCAGACCAAATGGCACTAGGGTGTCTGCACCATAAAAGGTAACAAAAGGTCTGTTCATCTGTTGACAGTCAGACCTTATATAGCCAGTCCAGAAAACAGGGCTCAGAATATTTTACCAATAATTTAAGTGTGTGTGTGTGTGTGTGTGTGTGTGTGTGAGAGAGAGAGAGAGAGAGAGAGAGAGAGAGAGAGAGAGAGAGAGAGAGAGTTGAAGACTATTTACTCTCCCTTTCTCCTTGTATGGTTTCAGCACAGTGGCCATATCTTTAGCTTAGTACCATGGTCACCAAACTGCGGCTCCAAGCCACATGCGGCTCTTGGGCTTCTTGAGTGTGGCTCTTCCACAAAATACCACAGCCTGGGCCAGTCTATGTTGAAGAGGTGGCATTAGAAGAAGTTTAAGTTTAAAAAACTTGGCTCTCCAAAGACATTTCAATCGTTGTCCTGTTGATATTTGGCTCTGTTGACTAATGAGTTTGCCGACCCCTGGTTTAGTACATGACAGCTAGTTCTTAGATGCCTTTAACCTGTGAAAGATAAGCCATTGTAAAGCACACACACGAGACCCAAGGACCTGAGTGGAAATGGAAATCATGTCTCACGCCTGGTAGATGATTTAATATCAGGTAAGACAAAAACAAAACTCCAGCTCTTTCAGGTTGGACAAACCATTGAACTGTCCAAGTCCCTCATTACTGTGAGCAAAGAGATCCTATGAGCAAGGAGACAGCTACAAGGCACTGCATCTGAGTCCTCCATCCCTGCTTTTGTGTCTCTGGCAATGGGGCCTGGAACATGATGGCAGGGATGGCCAAATAAAACAGTGTCTTGATCCATCTAAGTAGCTATTACCATAAGTTTGTTGCGGGGTTTTTTTTAAGAAAAAACCCTCATACCCGTAGAGTTTGTGCACATTGAGGCCATTTCTAAATAATCCCAGCTTGCTTCTTTTCTTATGCACATTTTAATACACATCTGCTTGGCAGAGAATCGGCGTGGGGATTAAGTAGAAGGAGATGGCAGAACAAAGCCCAGGCCTGGGGTGTGTGTCGTCTGATAAGCAAGCTGAGAAGAAAGGAAATGACTGAAGAAGAGTCACACAGAGATGAAAACAGGGCATCCTGACTGGCCTGAATTTGAAAGCAGGACTAAATCAGCAACAAATGTTCAAGAGAAGAAAGCACAAACCAAAGGAACATTCCTCTGAAGGTTGGAATTCCTCTGCGCAATCAGGATGACTGAGGACGTCGTGGGGGTGTGGAACTGAAGGCAGCAGTCTCTGGGGTGTGGACCCCTGGCCCACGTGACCTGCAGTTCACAAGGTCCATGCAGCCCCAGCCCAGCTGCAGCCGCAGGGGGTCACGGGAGGGTCAGAGGTTCTCTAAATTCAATTCGGTCAACATCAGCTTCTAGTGCCCAGCTCCTGCCAGTTTGCCCTCAACATTTCGGGTTTATTAATAAAAGCCCCATCACCCTAACCGGTGTGGCTCAGTGGATAGAGCATCAGCCTGCAGACTGAAAGGTCCCAGGTTTGATTCCGGTCAAGGGCATGTACCTGGGTTGCAGGCACATCCCCAGTATGGGGTGTGCAGGAGGCAGCTGATCGATGTTTCTCTCCCATCGATGTTTCTAACTCTCTGCCCCTCTCCCTTCCTTTCTGTTTAAAATCAATAAAATATATTTAGAAAAAAAAATAAAAGCCCCATGGTGCCCTGACCAGTGTGGCTCAGTGGATAGATCATTGGCCTGGGGACTGAAGCGTCCTGGGTCCAATTCCCATCAAGAGCATGTACCTTGGTTATGGTTGCGGGCTCGATCTCTAGTGGGGGCGTGCAAGAGGCAGCTGATTGGTGTTTCTCATCGATGTTTCTAACTCCCTATCCTTCTCGCTTCCTCTCTGTAAACAATCAATAATATGTGTGTGTGTGTGTGTGTGTGTGTGTGTGTATGTATGTATATATATATATATATATATATATATATATATATATATATATATATATTTTTTTTTTTTTAAGCCCCATGGCTGACCTCAGTTTGCAGAGGGCGAGGGCACAAAGGACTCAAGAGGAGCAGAGCCAGGATTTGGCAGCAGCCATCTAATGTGCCAGCCTGCCATCCAGACAATTCGGAGCAGAATAAGCAAAGCCTAGGAGCCTGTCTCTCTAGGGAAGGGAGGGGCTCAGCTGGGCCAGCCCCAGGGGGAGGCCTGCCCCTGGGAGGCCCCAGCTTCACTGGAGCACTTGGAAGCTCTGCCCCTGCCTGCTCCCCACTGAGAGAGAGGAATAGAAGCTGAAAGCAAGAAAGGCCCAGAGTAAGTCTGATTTCTGGGGAGTTTGGGATAGCAGAGCCATGGGGTGAGAAATGGGTGTGATTTAGCAATGAAACTTTCCTAGCTGAGTTATAATAAATAATTATACCATTTACATGTCTATCCATTAGCATTAATTGCACTTAATCATAGTCTAGCGTTGTCTTCAGGTTTTCCTTTATTTCAACCAGCTACAACAGCCACCACTAACTTCCCTAGACCAGTGGTCGGCAAACTCATTAGTCAACAGAGCCAAATATCAACAGTACAATGATTGAAATTTCTTTTGAGAGCAGAAAACTGACTTCTGCGCATGGGCCACGAAGTTTCAATCGCACTGTCTGTGCGTGCCCGCACGTGGTATTTTGTGGAAGAGCCACACTCAAGGGGCCAAAGAGCAGTTTGCAGACCACTGCCCTAGACAGAGGGATCAGTTGATGGATCCATCCACTCAACCATCTAACCAACATTTACC